TATATCTTTCATACATCTGCCGCGCGTCGCTCTTTGTCGGGTTGATTTCTGCTGGAGTCTCGTATCAGACTGAAGACATTAGTGAGCGATCAGAGGACAAAACAAAACTACTTTATCACTGTTTCTTCAGGGTTTTCATCTTGTGAGAGCTGAACCTTCAGCAGGGAAGCAGGCCAGTGAGCTTCTGATTGTAAATATCGGCCAGATAAAGAAAGCTCTTCAAATGTCGTCAGTATTTTACACATGGAAGGGAAATATGAGATCATTAGGAAATGCTAAAACAGTGAGTCTCTCAAATGTTTTTTTTATACTCTGTTGAGATTAAGAAGAAAATTTGCTTGCAATTTCTTTTTACAGGATCAGTAAAGCATAATGTATTATAAAAGTAGTTTTGATCAGTGGTGGACAGTAACGGAGTAGTTTTACTTCGTTACTGTACTTAAGTACATTTTTCAAGTATCTGTACTTTATTTTGAGTAACTTTTACTTTTACTTCACTACATTCCAAAGCATAAGATCGTACTTTTTACTTCACTACATTTCATAAAACTTATCGTTACTCCTTATAATATATCACATGCTCCGAGACGCAGAAGCGGTGTCTGATTCAAGAACGAACTGATTCTTTTCAATGAAACTTTTAAATCGGTTACTGGAAATCATATTTAGGTCAAAGCTGTCAGTTGTTTGTGAAGTAAATCTGCTGTAAAGGGTGATCTGTTTAAGCCCACTCAAATAGAGACACATCAACATCAGAGTCTCTATTTTTTAGGTAAAAAAAACCATTAAAATAACACAGATTAAATAAAATAACTCATGCACGTTCATCTTCCCCGCTGCTGTAACGTTAGCAGTTTTACTCAAATGCTACGCATTTAGCCCTATGTGACGTCTGCTTTTATATTGTTATTAAGTCCTTATTATATTCATTATTTCCTTATTGGTTATTTTGGGAAAATCCCAGGTATTTTGAGCAGTACCATTATAAAAAAAAATATATGCTAATATAAAATTAAATGATAAAAGTAGCCTATATAAAACCACAAAATAAACATTCATCTATCTGTACTTTTTACTTAAGTACATAAAAAAATCAAGTACTTTTGTACTTTCACTCGAGTAAAATTGAAAACGGAGTACTTTTACTTTTACTGGAGTAATCTGGAGTTTATCATACGGATCTGTACATTTACTCAAGTACTTGATTTGTGTACTTTGTCCACCACTGGTTTTAATGCATTAATTATGCCTTGTAATGCACCTTATAATGCATTGTATGATCTCATGAATAATTGAAACCACAATTATAATACATTATAATACCTTAAAGTGTGATGCATCAAAACATGACAAACAAACCTTCAAATATCACAATGCTTTTGAACTTTGGTTACAATTATTTATGGAAAAATATAATGCATTGCAACATACATTATGAATAGCTTTATAATGCATTATACAAAAAGGATTTAAGTGTTTCCAAAATACGAAATATGCACTTTTCATAACATTATATATAATATAAAAGGAACGTAGACTATTAAATACAATAAGTTGAATAGTTGCATTAAATACTTTGGCACAGAAGAGCTAAATGACTCTTTGCATATAAAATCTTTGCATGTATAATTTGGGTTTATAAAAGTTTATTTTATCCTAAATATGGATCTGGACGTTTATCATTATCATTAGAAGTGTTTGCAGATGATCCAGGCCATTATTTTGAGCTCACATTAAAATAAAACTCCATATGATTAGTTTATTCTGTGGTTTTGAGTGTGTCTGGAGTCTTTTATTTTGACATGTATTTCCTTCATCCTCTTCCTGATTGTTTCCATGTGTTTCCTGTGTGTTGGTTAGTGTGAATTAACCAAAGACTCATGGTTTGGCTGGTTAGTTGTGTCAGTTAGTACCTGCTTATGAATCTACAAAACATATTCCTCCAATGCAGTCATTTCAGATTTCAATTCAGTGTTGACATGATGCCATTTTCTTGCGAGTCACATGTTTATAAATGTATGTTCCCATTGCACATGCAAGATAGCATCACTTTTTTGAGGCTGAGATGGAAATACTATAGGAAACGTAATGGATAGAGACTCCAGATACTAGATTGGAATATATTTGTGTTCGACTTCGTTGAGCCGTTTTGGTGAGTATTCATCGGTTCTTGTTGTTCCCTGTTATGCTTTTGTGCTTGTTTGTTGCATTTTTACTTAATTACTTAGTTTATTTTTTAAAGTCGCAGTCTGATTTAATAAATACTCAAGAAGCAGTGGAGTTGAATGAAAAGTCTGGTTGCATTGCATTGTGGAGTCAGTAACCATACAATGCTCTGTTGTAGATGTAGAAGGTCATTTATGTCTTTAATGTTTGTCTTGAGACTCTAGCAGCAAATGTGCCGTAATCTAACTCACATAATGTCATCTTATGGATGTTTGGCTTGAACTCATTGATGCTGATGGAGTTAATTGCTGTGGATTGATCTGTTGTTCTCGGTGGCTGGAGAGAGACAAATCTCAACTGATTCTCAGACAGCTGCGAGATTAAACTGAGAGCGAATAGAGACTTTTGATTAATCCTCCGACTGACCGTAATCTTGCATGTCTCTTCTGGAGGTTTAGAAACTGTCTAAACAATAGCATCTCAATATGAACTGCTTTCTCAGCAAATCATCTGAGCTGCTTTCCACATTCATTTTACATCTCTATTCTCGTACTGCATCGAGTCTATTTTTATTTCACCCGAGTTGGCCTGTCACAAATACTAATTCTGATCGTGGTGATTTGATATAATCACAGTTATTTGAGATAACCACAATAATTGTGCAGCATAGATAACTAACAAAAAAAAAAAAAAAAAAAATTAATAACTAACAAAAAAAAAAAAAAAAAGTTACTTGAAATAAAATGGAATAAAATCTCAAATCTTTATATTTCAGCTAGTTAACAAGGCAACATTTCTAATTTTCATTTAGTTTGACTTGACTTGACTAAAATAACTAAAACTAAAAATGCAATAAAAATTAATAAAATCTATATGGACATAAAATCAACAAAAACTAATAAAAATGGCAAAAACACACAACTGAATTACTAAAACTTTAACTAAAATTAACCTGAAAGGAGAAACTATAAAACTAAAATGTAATTCAATAATAACAAAAACTATAATAGCATCTCAGTTATACTAAAAAAACACGAAGGGAAATTTAAGAGCTTAAATGTCAAAAACCTATATTATATTATATTATATTTGAGCTATGAAAGAGAAATATATTATATTATATTATGTTATGTTATGTTATGTATGAGCTATGAAAGAGAAACATATATTATATTATATTATATTATATTATATTGTATATGAGCTATGAAAGAGAAACATATTATATTATATTATATTTGAGCTATGAAATAAAAACATTATATTATATTATTATATTATATTATAATATATGAGCTATGAAAGAGAAACATTATATTATATTATATTATATGAGCTATGAAAGAGAAACATCTGAACAGTTTTGTGTGTTTTCAGTCCTAGTGCAAAAGAAGGCTCTATGGATTTGTAATTTTCAGTAGGAAATAAATATAATGGGTCAGAATTATTAATTAATTAAAGCCCGCATGGAGAGTCGCCCGCCAAGCACGTTCTACAAATAGCCTAAATTAGTGCTGGGCGAAAAAATGATATCATATCGAGATTATGATCAAATGTATGTTAATGATGATAAGCTCTGGACATTTTTACTCAATATGGGTTAATCTAACATCCTATCACACAACAGAAATACATGTTACAGCAGCCAGTCAGTGCATGTCGCTAATAAGTCTGTGTGGAGTAGTTTCATCTGATACACAAACTCAAACACACGTGACTCGCGGCGTTTTCAGCGTCTGCGTCTCAATATATGAGGACATGAACACATGCACTTCATCTTCAGAGCTGCTCTGAGAGTCACTTCACCAGCCTTATGCCGTTTCATTTGAGAAAAATACCGTCAAATACACGCTGAACCTAAAACTAAAACTAAAACTGAGAGACCTTCACGACAAACCGTCAAAATAAAAGTCCGGTTTAATTTGAAATACTACTGTATACTACAATGCAATTCTCAAAGTAATAATAATGTTATGATTTTTAAGGAATATCATACCATTTTTTATTATTAAAGTTTTTTATTATTATTCATTTATACAGTTCTGTTGTGCGGCATCATGTCTGATAAAATAAAATAAATAAATAAAAATGCAGTGTTTTGCGATTAATTTTCATTTGATTGCATTTTAAAGGATTAATTAAATTGTTCATGTTTTATTAAATAATTTCACTAGACACCATTTTTTATGATAAATTTGTACTGAATCATAAAACATAGAATCCATAAGAAATCAAATGGAAAACACAGAATTTAGGGAAAAATAAAATGCATTTCATGGGGCCCTAAATTAAAACGTAGCTCCTCTGTGGAATTTAATTATGAACAAAGTTATGTTTACCTTCATTCTCAAGGTCTAACAAACTTGTGGAAAGCATTTCCTTCCCCATTAATGGTAAATGAATATCATGATAAATATCAATATTGTATGATAGCCTATTTTATAAATTTATCTGGAATTTCGCAATTTCTCATCCCGTTTGCTGACGCGACGCGTTCAGTGTGTGATACGTGTTGCACCGGGACACCACTGTGCTTCTCGTCTCGTTCTCGTATATAAATATATATCTTGTATGCCACCTAACAAGGATAAATGGCTTATTGTGTCTCATTCGACAGACATTCTCCCTGGTTTTCTCCGTCCTCCATGTCTCCGTCTGTCTCACAGAGACATGCTATTAGGCGAATATTAGCGCATTCCTGCCGTCTGATGGTGAATCCTGAGCGGCCCGTCTGATTGTCCGCCGCTGCTGCTAATGGAGGTGAAGTCGTTATCAGAGCCGTCCATGTGATCCATGCACCAACACCTCATTATCACCTCCGTTCGGCACGTGGCTCATTCATTAAACCGTCCTTTTACAGCTTTTAAGCATCACCTTTGGTCCCTTTTAGTGCTGGATGTGAGAATCTCTGAGAGAAACGTGACGCAGGGACACCGTACAGCCTGATGATTCGCTGGGATTCAGAAATGAGCACGATTAGGAAACAAATGCAGTGAGGAAGCCAGGGCTCTTTTAAAGTGACAGAATATTAAAAAAAATATTTCGTCTCCCAGCAGGCCGACAGAAGTCTGCTGATAGTGGTGTTGTCTGGTGTGTTTAATGTCGAGCAGGACGATTCAATTACCTTAAGATCTGGAGAAGCATATTTTACACTGATTCAGGATTGAATGTGTTTTCTGACTGTGAAATTAAATTAAATAAGCAACATGCATTTCAGTGATATTTGTTGGCAGCCACAGAACTGTGGCAGAACTTAAAATATGTCTTAATTTTATTAATCATTTTCTTTAAAATATTTTTTTTTCATGTTAAAGTAAAATTCTTACGTGATGCTCATTACATTAACAGAGGATAAACTACCAGTTAATTGGCTGCTTTTTTTTTTCATTTTGCAATTAATATCAATGGGAAAATGTGTGTCATTATATACAGTACCATTTGAGGTTGATAGGATTTTTTAAAAATATATAATTCTCTTCTGCTCACCAAGGCTGCATTTACTTGATCAAAAATACAGTAAAAATAGGGAAATATTATTAGAATATAAAACAGTTGTTTTCTATATGAATATCTGTTAAACTGTAATTTATTTCTGCGATCAAAGCTGTATTTTCAGCATCATTACTCCAGTCTTCATGATCTTCAGAAATCATTCTAATATACTGATTTGCTGCTCAAGAAACATTTCTGATTATTATCAATGATGAAAACAGTCGTGCTGCACAATATTTTGTGGAAACTGTGATACATTTTATTTTTCAGGATTCACAGATGAATAGAAAGTTCAAAAGAACAGCATTTATTTGAGATCTTTTGCTACATTAGAAATGTCTTTACTGTCACTTTTGATCAATTTAATGCATCCTTGATGAATAAAAGTAAAATTTTAATATCATAAAAAAATCTATTTTAAAAATCTATTTTAATATTGTTTATTATTTATGTTTATTAAGCATTGGCCGCTCTCCTCTCTAGATAGCAGTATCTCCATCAGTTACTAAAAATTAATATTTGTTAAACAATATTTAAAACAAACAACGTTGCTGTTGTCAATTTCACATGAATGATTGTTTCATCACAATATCCTTTATTTCTGCATTTATGTTGTTTTGTGTCAGTCTAAAAAGCCTTTAAAACAGTAAATATAGTTAGTGATTTAAATTTAGTCTGATCAGATCTGTATTTGTCATCAGTACTGATTATTTCAGTCTCTAATATTTAATTTTAATGCGCTCGTATGTTTCTTACGCTGTAGCCTCATGCGTGTTGTTTTTACAGTGGCGTTGTGTGTTTGATTTGTATGTTGTTGTTGTTGTTGAGCTACAGCGTTTGTTTTCTCAGCGTCTTTTCCAGGTAACAGCCGCCTACATAATCTGTGCTCGTCAGCTGAGACGGCGTCTGTGTGTGTAATAAACGCTGGAGGGTCTGGTGTGATGCGCAGGTGTGTGTGTGTGTGTGAAGGGCGGCTAGTGTCTAAATAACTCTAAACAAACACACTGATCGCAGCTGAGACCCTGCGGCGCGTCTCGCGCTCCGAGACACCAACACACACCCAAAAATACACACACGCTCGGAGAGGACGAGAAAACAGAAGGACAGAAAGAAAGATGGTGCTGAGCTACAATTGCTCTTAGAGTGAAATTCATAAAATTACACTATGGTTTAAAAGTTTGGAGTTGGTTTTTGAAAGAAGTCTCTTCTGCTCAGCAAGTCTGCAATTATTTGATCAAAAATACAGTAAAAATAGTGAAATATTATTATGATTTAAAACAGCTGTTTTCTATATAAATATCTGTTAAACTGTAATTTATTTCTGTGATGCACAGCTGTATTTTCTTCAAAAGAACAGCATTTATTTGAAATAAAAATAGTCTACATTATACATTTCAGGTTTCATGCATCTTTGCTGAATAAAAATATGAATTTCTTAAATTCTATTAAAATATTCTATTTTAATATTGTATGTTATATATTTACTTTATATATTTAAAAGATCTGCAGTTTTTTTTATAAATTATAAATGTAATATAAAAATTATACTTTTTTTTAGAATTTATAATTGCGATATAAAAATGATAAATCTTAGGAATTATAAATGTCTATACTGTTGCTTTTGATCAATTTAATGCATCCTAGCTAAATAAAATAATAATAATTAATAATAATTTTTTATTTTAATTAATTTTAATTTTTGTTAAATAAATTGATTAAATGATTAAAAAAAACAGCATTTTTTTTTTGTATTGAATAAAATAAAAGTACTTTTACCGTTTTTTCTTGCATCATATATTCTCGCCCTAGTGCATTCTGGGATTGCATTAACAGTCCACTACTTTATTAAAGCTGCAGTCCGTAACTTTTTTTGGTAAAAAATGATCCGAAATCAATATTTGAGCAAGTACATAACCAGCCAGTGTTCAAAACTATCGCCTTACTTTAGCCCGATTCACAACGGTTAGCTTATAATAATGTTTTGTAAGTTTGTTAACATTAATAATCTGAGAATAACGTTTAACAATAATAATTTGCACGGTTTGATGTGATATGAGCTAATAGATCTTTAGATTTAATCACTATTGGTAGCACGATTTATTGTAATGCTTTTTAGGGCTGTCACGATTATGAGATTTGGCTGACGATTAATTGTCTAAAAATAGTCACGGTTATTGCGATTAATTGTCTGTTTTAGGACTTCGGAACAACAACTATTTGAAATATGGAATCTGAGGGTGCAAAAAAAATCTAAATATTGAGAAAATCATCTTTAAAGTTGTCCAAATGAAGTTCTTAGCAATGCATATTACTAATCAAAAATTAAGTTTTGATATATTTACAGTAGGAAATCTACTGCTTTTGTGCTCCAGGGTCACAAATAAATGATTGGCGCAAAAACATAATCACATTATAAGTGTATGATAAGCCCTTTAAAAATCCTCCAGCATGTGTTTCTTTTTTCCTCCGTCTTTCCTCGTCCTCTTTCTCAGAGCGGCTGGTTTGACAGGCGTGTGTCTGACTGATTGTCAGCTGCGCTCCTGACCAGCGGCTGTCAGATTGATAGACGGTCAGATGTATCTTTGAGGGCCGGAGGAACTGCTGTCACCGGCCCGATGCTTGTCCTCCGGAGGATTGTGGAGCGCTGGGACTCGCTCACCTGCGTCTGTCTGCCGCTAATGCGATGACATCCGGCCGCCGCGTTTGACTCTGCTGTCAAAATACGACGTAAGCTCAGACTGAAATCACGTCTCGTCCTCTACGCTTGGCATATGACTGGCTTCTTCAGCGCTCGCGTCTCTCTGTTGATCTTCAATCAGGCTGATGTGAGCGGCTCACCGTGACAAATGTGACCCTGGAGCACAAAACCAGTCTTAAGTGTCAATTTTTCAAAATAGAGATGTATACATCATCTGAAAGCTGAATAAATAGGCTTTCCATTGATGTATGGTTTGTTAGGATAGGACAATATTTGGCCGAGATACAACTATTTGAAAATCTGGAATCTGAGGGTGCAAAAAAATCAAAATATTGAGAAAATCATCTTTAAAGTTGTTCAAATGAAGTTCTTAGCAATGCATATTACTAATCAAAAATTAAGTTTTGATATATTTATAGTAGGACATTTACAAAATATATTCATGGAGCATGATCTTAATATCCTAATGATTTTTGGCATAAAAGAAAAATCTATAATTTTGACCCATACAATGTATTGTTGGCTGTTGCTACAAATATACCCCAGCGACTTAACACTGCTTTTGTGCTGCAGGGTCACAAATGACCTCAACGAGCCAAAAACATCTACAGTTAAATCAGCTTAAATCAGTAGCAATTAATAGGAATATTTCACCCTTGAATGTACATTTATGTCCTTCTGAACCGGTATGACTCTCTCTTCTGTGAAGCACTAACGTTCAGCAGGATCTATTATAAGTCTTAAAGGGACAGTTCATCCAAAAATGAACATTCTGTTATCATTGATTCACCCTCTAGTTGTTCCAAACCTGTATGAGTTTCTGTTTATTTCTTTTACATAAAAGAAGATAATTTGAAGAATGTTGGTAAGAAAACAGTTGCTGGTAGCCATTGACTTACATGGTAGGGAAAAAAATACACTGGAAGTCAATGGGGACCATCAGCTGTTTGGTTAGCAGAATAAAATAATACAAAAATAAAATTTTCAGACAAAAATAAAAACTTTCAGAATAACAATTTAATATTTTATGAAACACTTAACAGTAAAATTCCCTATGAAATGTTTTAGTTATTATTTTCCGCAAAAACTGTTTTTCATTTTAATTTTCAAGGATTCCATTTAATGGTTTAATTAAATTTTAATAATCATAAAACAATGTATAATCAGTTGAAGTCATAAAACTTTAAAGATGTAATGATTTATTAAACATTTTACAGTAATAGTGCCATATGAAATGTTTCATTTTTTCCGCAGTTTATCTGGATTTCATTTAATTAAATTTTATAATCAAAAAATAAATGTTTTTCAATTTGAGTTCATAAAACTTTGAATTCACAATTTTAACAATATAATAGTGCCCTATCAATGTTTTATTTTTTTTCAGAAATTCTGTTTTTTGTGATTTAATACACATTTATTATCAAAAGCAGTGCTGCTCAAATGTAATTAACAATAGTAGTTAATCTTTTAAAATGTAATCAAATAAAATTTAAACAATTCCTTTAATTTATTGGCAAAGTATTGCACAACAGATTTACAGCTTAAATGAAAACATGGACAGAAAACTGTGTGATGTTCCTTGAAAAGTCAAACAAAAATCATGTTTTAGTAAACGGTAAGTACATTAACTTATCAAAATAAGTTGAGCAATTTCAATTTGTTTGTTGTATGAAAATCAACTTTCATACAACAAGTGTAATTTAAGTTGAAACGACTTAAAATGACTTAA